GTCCTCCCTCAGCTGCCGGCCGGGGCGGGACACGGGGAGGGAACACACAGCCCCGGAATCATGGAATGGTTGGGGTTGGAGAAGGATTTTTATTTTATTTTATTTGTATATTTCTTATATAACTTGAGGCCGTTTCCTCTTGTCCCATGGCCTGGGAGAAGAGCCCGACCCCCCCTGGCTACACCCTCCTTTCAGGGAGTTGGAGAGAGCCAGAAGGTCTCCCCTCAGCCTCCTTTTCTCCAGGTTGAACACCCCCAGCTCCCTCAGAAGTTCTCCAGACCCTTCTCCTTGTGCTCCAGACCCCTCCCCATCTTCGTTGCCCTTCTCTGGACCCGCTCCAGCCCCTCAAGGTCTTTTTTTGTGGTGAGGGACCCCAAACTGGACCCAGCCCTCGAGGTGGGGCCTCACCGGCACCCAGTCCAGGGGGACCATCACCTCTGGGGCCCTACTCGCCACGCTGTTCTTGACACAGGCCAGGATGGTGGTGACCATCTTGGCCACCTGGGGTGGATGGACTCAATGGATGATCTGAAAGGTCTCTTTCCACCTCAATGATTGATTCTATGATTGTATAAGGGCGACTGCGGGGTTACGATCCCAACCACGCCGCTGGTGTAGTGGTATCATGCAAGATTCCCATTCTTGTGACCCGGGACCTGCTCCAGCCCCTCTGTTGCCTGTAGCCTAACTACCACACCCCTCAATGTCTTTTTTGTGGTGAGGGGTCCAAGACTGGACCCAGCCCTCGAGGTGGGGCCTCCCCAGTGCCCAGTCCAGGGGGACCATCACCTCTGGGGCCCTACTCACCACGCTGTTCCTGACACAGGCCAGGATGCTGGTGGCCAAGGTGGCCACCTGGGATGGATGGACTCGAAGGATGGAAGGGTCTCTTCCCACCTCAATGACTGATTCTATGACTGTATAAGGGCGGTTGGGGGGCCATTACCACAACTGGGTGGGGCCTCCCCAGTGCCCAGTCCAGGGGGACCATCACCTCTGGGGCCCTACTCACCACGCTGTTCCTGACACAGGCCAGGATGCTGGTGGCCAAGGTGGCCACCTGGGATGGATGGACTCGAAGGATGGAAGGGTCTCTTCCCACCTCAATGACTGATTCTATGACTGTATAAGGGCGGTTGGGGGCCCATTATCGCAACTGCGCCGCTGGTGTAGTGGTATCATGCAAGATTCCCATTCTTGCGACCCGGGTTCGATTCCCGGGCGGCGCACATCGCTTTTTACCCCTCTTTATTATATATATTTTTTTTTAATATTATTTTTTAAAATATATTTTATTTTTTCATTTTCCCCGTCCCCACCGACTTGACCCCCACCCATTGACCGGGATGGGGGGGACACACAACCTGTACCCGGTTACCGGCGGAGGGCGGGAAGCGGCGGCGCATGCGCTTTCCCGCCTTTCCCCCCTCCCCTTCCCCTTCCCCTTCCTTCCTTCCCCCTCAGGGGGCCGGCCGGGCCCCCTTCCCCCCCGCCGGCCGCCATCTTGCGAAGGAGCGCCCGGGTTTATTGTCCGGTGGGGGGGGAACCGACCGACCGACCGGCCGGCTCGGTCTGAAGCAACCGGGGGTTGGGCGGCAACCATGGAGGATGAAATGCCCAAGACCCTGTGAGTGAGGGGGTTCAAACCGCCTTTATGGTTACCGGTTCGGCGCGGAGGGGAAGGGGAGGGGGGGGTTTCCCCTCACGAATCCCCCCCCTCCTTCTTCATCCCTCCTCCTCCTTCTTCATCCCCCCTCAGGCCCGGAGACCCTTCAGCCGCCTTCAAGGCTGAGGGGACGGGTCGCCCACCCCTGAGGGGCACCCCCTTCCCCTCACACGGCGGTAAAACCCCCTAAAACCCCCCCCCAGGGTCTCCCCTCAGCCCTTCAGCCGCCTTCAAGGCTGAGGGGGACGGGTCGCCCACCCCTGAGGGGCACCCAGTTCCCCTCATACGGCGGTAAAAACCCCCCCGGGGGTCTCCCCTTTTCCCTTCAGCCGCCTTCAACGCTGAGGGGACGGGTCGCCCACCCCTGAGGGGCACCCTCTTCCCCTCATACGGCGGTAAAAACCCCCTAAAAACCCCCCTCAGCCCTTCCCGCCATTCCCGTCCCCCCCCTCAGCCCCGGGTCCCTTCACCTCAGGGCCGGCTGAGGGGGAATGGACCCCCCCTCCCCTATTACTCGCTCCATTTATGTTTTTTTACCGAGTGTCTGGTTGAATTTTGCCATTTCTGGGTTGAATTTTGCCATTTCTGGGTTATATTGGGGGTGTATGTGGTGTTTATTTGGGGGGGAAGGGGGGGGGGGTTTGCCCTGTGCTGGATCCTCACCGCCACGTCCAACAGCTTTGATGGAAATAAACTCAGGGATTTGGGGTGGGAAGGGGGGAAAGAAGATATCCCTGAAAGCCCTAAGTGAAATCTAAGTGAAAAAAAATCAAATTTCAACCAGTCCAGGTCTGGGAGCTCATCCCTGGCCTTGTCAAAAATTCATCATTCAAAGGGGGAGGGTTGTTTTAATTAACGAGATGCTTCTGACGGGACACCCTGTCGCTGTCAAGAGGCTTTTTTGGGGGGGGCTTTTTGGGGTGGCTTTTTGGGGTCTCCACCTCCAGCCGGGGTTGGGAAGGTCAAGAGGGCTCCTGTGCCCGGTGGCTTCATCCTTTTTATGTCTTTTTCTCTCCAGGAGCCGTTTTTCCCTCTTTTCCATCAGGGGAATGGCAGTTCCCTCTCTCTCCCTGTTGAATTTTGGTCTCTTTCAGTGCAGGAAGACAGGAGAGAGGAAAAAAAGGGAAACTTTTCCACCAGCCAGGGGAAAGTTTTGCCCTCGGACAGTGCCCGGCGCCTACCCCAAGGGCTGAGAAAGGGAGTTTTTTGAGCGACTTGCAGGAAAAACAAGGCTTTGACCCAGAAACCCAGGCTTTCTCCGGCGGTAAACACGCTGCCTCCCCGTGTGTGTGACCCCCCTTGCCCTTTCTAAGCCACGTGCATTTTTTGGGGGAGCTATTCTTGGCCTCTGCAAACACGGGGCAGAGCCCTTGGTGGTGTTTATTTAGGGAAAAAAAAGACAAAAAACAAAGGTGGTTTTGCCCTTGTTGCAGTGAAATTGTTGTCTGGAGTCTTAGTGGTCTCAGGGTGTGCTCGACTTCTCTGGCCCTGGGCACGACTTCTCTGGCCCTGGGCACGACTTCTCTGGCCATGGGCACGAATTCTCTGGTTTTGGGCACGAATTCTCTGGTTTTGGGCACGTGGGGCTCGTTGCCCAAACACAGCTGGCTCTCAGAGCCGGAGAAATTGGGAATTTCTCTCCATCCATCCATCCCTCCCGGTGACATCCCTCCAGTTGCGGGGGGGTGAGGGGGCTGGATGGCACGGGGTTTGGGTTTAGAAAGAGCAGTTTTGAGGGATGAAGAAGCAGCTCGGAGTCATCTCTTGCCGGATGGGGTCTGAAGTGTGTCTTAAATATTTGGTTGCCACCAGCAGCACTGGCCCTGGCTTACGATGCTCCCCCCTTGGCTACCGTGGGGCCACCAAAGTGGTCTCCAACCCCTGTGTCGCCGCCTTTAGCTCGCTTTTAAGTTGTTTTGGGGGAAGATGTTGGAAATAACTTTGGGTTTTTTGCGATTTCCACTGAAGCTGGTGTTTTCTAGAAGGGGGGAGCGTTGGAGCCGTGGCGTTGGGGAGCGAGCTGGGGGCTGTGAGACTTAACCTGAAGGATTTTCTGGCCTGGCAGCGTGTTTTCAAGTTGGTTTTTTTCCTTGAGATTATAAATTTGAAGAACTGTTATGGGGCAAATGGTGCTTTTTGAACTTTAGGAAGGCCTTTGGTTTGTCTTCTTCATATATCTGTATAGATGCTTGTGGAATAGATGTATTTTATTCACTTTTATGCCTCTAAAATGTTGCAGAAGGGCTGACACCCCCTAGTTTGGTGTTATTTTTTCAAGAATATCAACGTGGAGGGAATGAATGGAGTTATCCATGTAGTTTGCCCTCTTTAGTGTGGTCCTTCACCTGCCAAGAAACACTGACCAGCTCATTAAGGAGAATTTAATTAGCAGGAGAGGTGCAGGTGGTGATGGAGCTGTCACGCAGGGGAGGTCATGGAGGGAATGAATGGAGTTATCCATGTAGTTTGCCCTCTTTAGTGTGGTCCTTCACCTGCAAAGAAACACCAACCAGCTCATTAAGGAGAATCTAATTAGCAGGAGAGGTGCAGGTGACGACGGAGGTGTCCTCCTCCCAGTTACCCCTGACTGGCAGGGTCACCTCGGTACTGGTTATTTCTGGTGTTAACTGGGGTGGGATGAGGTCTGGGGGTGCCTCCGTGGGGAGGTGGGAGCTGTCGGAGATGGCTTAACCGAAATCCTGCTTTTTCCAGTGAAAACCAGCGTTGAGGTGGGGAAGGTTGGGTGATTATTGGGGTGAAAATCCAGCGCCGGTTCAAAGATCAGGGTCGAGACAACCCCTGCGTAGGGAACCTTGGCTTCCAAAGAAACTGTTAATTAATTAACTTAGATGATGATGACGCGAGAGTGTCGGTGCCTCGGCTTATTCATTATCCAGGGAGAGATAATATTGGGGAGGAAAAAAAGAAAAAGGGAGAGAAAAAGAAGTCTTGCCAGTTGAACTTGATGTTGGGGGGGTTATGGAGCAGAAAGTTAATTGCCTTAATTAAGGTGTATTAAACCCCTTCTTAAGGACACCTCGTCAGGAGTGTTTTGTTGAGCGAGAGGGTGTTTTAAAAAGGAGTAGAATCCTGCCTAAAATAGTCATCTGGGCTATTAATACGGAGCGTTCTGGCTCATTTTTGACCCAAAACCTCTCTCCTTTCCCCTCCTTGTTCTCTCCTAAAGCAAATATTGGAAGTGTGTCCCTCTCTCCAGGACCTTGTGTCAACAACAACAACGAGAAGCCCCTGGGTTTGGTGCCACCTTGTTTTCTTCACACCTGAGTCCTGGCAAATTCTTGCCTCCCCCCAGCCCCCCCGAGGGGGATTTGTTGGGTTATTGAGGTGGTTCTTGTGGTGGGACGGGGCTGAGGTTTCTCTCTGGGCTTTTTATAAAAAAAATCCCGTGATTTGGGGTTAAAAACAACAACAAACCCCCCCAAACACACACACCTGTGGATTGGGGAAGGATCTTCCTCGCTGAGAATCCCAAAATCCCAGGTGGGAGCGGGGCTTTGGGTCGTGTTTGCGGCCGAGGAGCCTGATCCTTTGGCACGTTCACCCTGGGTTGTTTGTTTTTTAAAAGGCTAAATATTGTGACATATTCTTGCCAATTGAATAAATTGGAGGCGGTGGTTTGGGTGGTTGGGGGGGGGGGG